CACCTGTAGTTTCCTTAACCCTAAACCCTAAACCCTAAACCCTAAACCCTAAACCCTTAACCCTAAACCCTAAACTTGAACCTATATAATGCCAAGATCTCAGCTCTCAAAGCCTCAACGCAGAACAGCCAGACGGACGTCTACTTCCTGACTTAACGAACCATGGGACCTAGTAGGGTTTAGGGTTTAGGGTTTAGGGTTTAGGGTTTAGTGTTTAGGGTTTAGGGTTTAGGGTTTAGGGTTAAGTAAGGTTATGAGTACTTTTATTGGGGCTCAAGGGTAACTATGTGATTGTTTGTATAATTGATTACCTCATTTTTCACCCTAGTAACTCAGTCCCATGAACCTTTAAGTATTGTCAACGAGACAGGAGGCTTGAAAAGGTGGGATGAGGGCAGGGAGGACTAAGGACCCCTTGTATCAGAACACCCTCTTGCATTACCAGCCACCTACCCAGAGACTCCAATATCCCTTAATTCAGGAATATACCTTAAATCATGTTAGGGATCCTACCATAATTTAAGGTATATTCCTTAATTCAGGGATATTGGAGTCTCTGAGTACCTTGATCCCACCCTTGGGGCCCTTGCATGGGAGAGCGTTGAACTACTGGGATTCCAATATTTTGGAGACAGGTTCGAACCCAAAGACTCCAATGTCCCTTAATTAAGGAATATACATACTAACTCATATCAGAAGGAAAATACATAATAAATCATATCAGAGTCGTTTATCAGAGATCCTCCTAGAAATTAAGGGATATTGGAGTCTCTGGGAATTGTTGACGTGCAGGATGTTTGTCTGAGAAGGCAGGACGGCTCGGAGTTGTTAGGGCTTTGGAGTTTTACATTAGGGACCCAAAAAGGACATAAGCATAAGCATTTTATAGGGATATCCCTACCTTATTGGGCTTCATTATAAGGGGATTTATATGGGATATCCCTATTCTAATTTTTGCTTATGTGCTCTTTTGGGGCCCTAGTTACAGTCAGGTTGCATGGTTCCGGGTGGTTTTGGAGCGCGGAGCTGTACGCGTCGTAAGTGCCCAGGTGTGGCTTGTAAGCTTTTTTCGACTGAGAGATTTAGAATTGTGATGGCACCAGCAAGGTGCCATGTAGACTGCAGAACTCTAGTAGACCTTGCAGCTCGTGAGGATTACATTTTTTACATATGATCAGGGTCACATATGTATATATATATATATATGCACACACACACACATACGTATGCATCATAGACATGTCCTCTGCCGTCTGCGTACCTTAGACCATTGTTCCAATTATCCCGAGCGATCACGGACTGTTGACCGCGGTTTAGGGTTTAGGGTTTAGGGACCCTAAACCCTAAACCCTAAACTCTGACCTTGCCACAGCTCACTGCAGGCAAGCTCGAGGAATCCATTTCTGAAGACGGTCGCGGAGGGGCTACGGGCTTCATGGGGTTCTGCACGGTTCCATATTATGGTGTTGTCAGATTTTAGTTTTGATCGTGAGTTCAGAGTTTTATTGGCTCGTATAGGGTTTTTATTAGAATAGGGCTGAGGCTGTCGGGTTTAAGCCCACGAGTTGCGGACCCTAAGATCTCTCTGGGATTGCTTCAAGCAGCACCTTAACCCGCTTTACACCCTAAACCCTAAACCCTCAACCCTAAACCCTAAACCCATGAACTCCTTGATACGCATGCTGTCGGGCTTCAAAACCCGAAGTCCAGGCTTCATCCTTTGTTTGGCCCTGAGTCTCCCAAATGCCCAGCGTTTTCGAACAATGTAGGGGTTTAGCGTTTAGGGTTTAGGGCCTTTATAATTAGAATAGGGTTTTGGGGGTTCCATATTGTATCTATAGTATGATATACCCCAAAACCCTAAGCCAATTACTGTGGCCCCTATATTACTTCTTATTGTTAAGCGTTCAGAAGTTTCGGTCGGGGTTGAAACAACGGAGTGTCCAATATAGAAAGGCATAGCATCGTTAGGCCTTTTTTGTGTTTGGGGAGACTTAGGGTTTGAGAGCGGGTTAGGGTTCAGGAGTCATGGGAATTGAAAGTTATTTAGGATTCCAAGATTCGCTCAGGATTTTCGGCAATAGCGGTGTCGAGTCCTTCCCCTCTGCGTTCCAGCACGCCGGCCGTCACTGTAGCCGATTGAGGAAAGCAATCCTTGCGGATGACACATAAAAATCAAAGGTCACGGATTGTTGTACGCACGGCTATGGTTAGTTTAGCTGCAGTTACAACTTCCTGTCCGTCCGTGGACTGCTTCTCGCCCTATCTATCGGAAGCTATGAAGGACCGTATTGCCCAGTTTGTATACTGCAAGCTTTACTACGCCGTTGCTACGCCAGAAATCCTAAGCCTTGATGTGGTGTATTCTTTTCCAGTCTTGCTGAGCAGCGTCAAAGGGCTTGTGCTGCTATTGCCATGTGTGTGGCAAAACATCCTGCTACTGTTATTTCTGCCCTGTTTGCCACTACTACAAGCGTTGGTGGTGCTTTTGCTTCTGCCTTCGCTGGTACATAACAACGAAGCCTGATAGAATCCTGTGTATGTAGTATCGCTCATTCTTAGGGTACCTTATTGTGGTTATAGCAAAATATTCCCCCAAACCCGATTCCAATCGTTATTGCTTTTATGTGAGTGCAGTGTCACTGTCCTCAAGATGCAGCTTTCGAATCAGCATTCCCTGGCTCGGTGGGATACCTTGAGCAGCACTACCGTTTCAGGTTTAATATAGCGGCCGCAATAATTACCTACATTAACTATTTTGGGTATACTATAAAGGACCCCAAAACCCTATTCTAATTATTCAGACCCCTCCATCATGGGTATCATGGGTTGGGAACCCTATGCTGTGGTTGTGCTTTCGTACATCACTGGAATCAAGCATGCAGCACCGAAGCTCCCAGAAGTTGATGTGCGAAACTTAAACCCCTTAGGAGCCCAATAGGTAAACTTTAAACTTTTTTGGTATATTAAACCCCTACGAAAAGAAAAGTTTAAACTTTTTTGGGCCAGGGTATTGGGCTTAAAGGACCCTAATATAGGGGCCGTAATGGTTAGAATAGAGTTTTGTGTTATACTATACTGAAATTAAGACAAGGACCCCCCCAACATAGTATTGGTAATTATTTAAGCCCCTACATTAGACCCTAAACCCTACTTGGAGGATCCTGGGACTTAGTAAGTGAGGCTGATAACTACCCTAATTGGGGTTATAAGTACTTATGAGTATCGTTACCGCAGGTATAACCCTAGTCATGTCACAAACCTCTACTCAATCACCCTGTATCGGAGACAAACCCGAGCCGGCCCTCGACGTAAAGCCATTCCGCACACCCCAAAGCCAAGACCTGTGAGCTTTGTCTTTTTTAACCCTATGGACCCTGGATGGGCCCCTTACAAAATCAGGTTTAGGGTTCAGGGTTTAGGGTTTAGGGTTTAGGGTTTAGGGTTTAGGGTTAAGGCATTATAAAAAGACAGTGAGAAGCCGCACAGGATCTTCCTCTGCAGTCCGTCTTTGCAGCGCAAGTAGTGCCCGCTGCGTCTCACATGTCGAGGCCTTACATGGTGGAAGGCACCTCACCCTGTCCTGTGACCCCAAACTCTACAAAATAGCAGGTTATGACCCCTTAATTAGAAGGTAGAACCCTTAAAACGGTAGGTTTTTGGATTCCTAGGTTAACACTAAACCCTAAACCCTAAAACCCTAAACCCTAAACCCTAAACCCTAGAACCATAAACCCTAAACCCTAAACCCTGAAACCCTAAACCCTAAACCCTAAACCCTGAAACCCTAAACCAAATACCCCGGCCTCAAGCCGGCCGGGAAGGTTAGATTACTGTCTGGTGCTTAGTAGGGAATAGGGGAATGGATCCCTATGATAGGGTTTAGGGGTTTGGGGTTTAGGGTTTAGGGTTTGGAGTTTAGGGTTTAGGGTTTAGGGGTTTAGTAGGGAATAGGGGAATGGATCCCTATGATAGTCCCTTAAGGTCCCTTATAGTAGTCTCTATAACCCATTCCCCCATTCCCTGCTAAGCACCAGACAGATTGGGGTTCAGGCTGTACGGCGGTAAGGTCTAAGAACTTTGTTGGAGGATCCTTTCCCATTTACGGCAAGATCCCTTTTTAGAATGCCACGACTGATGGCAGGAGAGTAAAAAAAGGCTGCACGCGGCAGGTACCCGCGAAAGGGATGCAGCAAGCATATATAATACCCGTTACTACGCGGAAACCCTCAACCCAAAGCCCTAAATGATTCTTGACAGGACCCTTGTATAGGGACTTCGCCTGAAACTGAGCCCGAAAACATGTCGGGCTCCTTGTTAACATTGTTATGATTTCAAGTATATGTCTGAGGAGTGGCATAGCTAACCTTTCACCTTTTTGGAATGCTATGACCCCTATATAATCCCAAAAAACTTAACCTGAAGGTCCTCTTCAGGGTTTCGGGTTTTGGGTGTAGGGTTTGGGGTTTAGGGTTTAGGGCCGTAGGGTGTAGGGTTTAGGGTTTAGGGGTAAGTAAGATTTCTCTTCAAGGGTATGGGAGTCTCTTGAACCCACAGAAGAAGGAGATTCTCGTTAGGCCGACCCCAGATCGGAGGAGGCACAGAGCCACTTCAGCGGGTCAGAAATAGATTCATAGATGCTTGAATACTGAGGAATACCATCCCAGACGATTGCCTGCACAGTTCTAGCATGATGGGACCCAAAACCCTAATATAGGGTCCTTAATAATTAGAATAGGGTTTGGGGGTATATTATGCTATATTTATAACAAGGAACTCCCAAAACCTTATTCTAATTATAAAGGCCTACACTACGTAGTCTAATCACGCCCCTGCGGTGTTAGAACTACTTGGGGTCCCTGTTCCCAGTGGGTCCTTATGACGCGGACACTATACAACAAGTATAGATACACTGGTATGGATAGGATTGCAGGATTAAAAATACAACCAGGAACAATATCTATAGTACTCCTGATAGCATTGGCTCACCAAACTGCAGACAGTGATCGTTCGTCGTTGCGACAAATGTAGCAATGCAGATTGTGTTACAAAGGTCCTTGATCGTCATTGCAATGCCCCTAAATGAATGTTTTCGGTGACGTGAAGTGGTTTGAAAGGTTTCCATCCTGCACGTTTGGCTCAGACGCGGCCGACCCCTTGCCGAAGCAGCCATCTGAGCCATGTCGTCCATGCCGAGGAGCGTGGCCCTGCTGGGCGTGGGCGCAGCCCTGACGATGGCATGCACCGCCTTCGTGGCCCCCAGCGGACAAGGCCGGCTCCGCGCCGCACGCACGCAGCCGCAGGTGGACTTCGGCACCTCCACGTCCTCCGCAGGCAGCACCGGGCTGTGGACCGCCTGCTCCATGGGTGGTGCTCTGCTTGCCGTCGGTGCGGCCGTGACCAGACGGGCAGCAAAGGCCCCTGTGGAGGTCGTGGCCGAGGCCATCCCCCGACCCGAGGACCTGCTGGACTCGCCCAAGTTCCCCATGTTCGAGGGCTCCACTGGTGGCTACATGTCCCGCTCCACCCGCGA